AGGAACCTTAGTTTCCTCCGCGGCTACGGTTGCTACGGTTGCTAGCAGGTCGGATCCTTAATTCTAGTCGTTAGTAGAGCTAGATAGCTCGTTTAGCTGTTTCTACCTCGACTATAAATTGAATGCGTATTAGGTTAGTCTGTTTAAATACACGGCGGCGGTCTAATTCAAGGACTAATTCCTATCGCAATTTAGGGCGTATTTCGGAAATCTAGATAGAGTCGGTCTTAGCTAGCAGATCGTCCTCGAGGGTCTTTAAATAGGCCTTAAATAAGCGGGCCGATTGATTAGTCTTTTGTTTAGCTCGAAGGTATTAGTCCTAAGCGTGTTGTTGCCTTAGTATAGGGTTTCTAAGAGTGTCTAGCATAATAGTTTTGTAGGTCTGCTACTAAATAGCGGTCTAGTCGTCGAGGGAGTCGAAATAGTTATCCTATATACGCTTTAGGTCGCTATTAATGTACTGTATAGCATATACGACCAAGGAGTAGTCGTCTAGTAGCGCTCTTAGTACATTGCGCTAGTTGATTTTACAGTTACGAATGTAGTCGTTATACTGTTTTCGACTAGAGCTATTAAATACGGTATAGTCCTTAAGCTTAGTATCCTTCTTTTAAATAGAAGGTCCTGCTACTAGTTCCGGTCTAGTAGTAGTTGTTAGGGCTTCCTATAGGCGGCGAATCTCGAGGAGATTATCCTTTAGCTATTATTCTTAACGTAGGGTAGTAAGCCTATTTCGGGTAGCTTCCTAAAGTCTCGCTACTAGCTAGGGGCTAAAGGCTAGCTAGCTATATCGTCGATTAACAATGTTGTTAAGAATATCGTTAATAGGCAATTCTGGATCGTTACCTAGGATTATAGGTTCTTCTTTAGTAGGCTTAGTAGTAGGCCCTTTAGTAGGAGGCACTTTAGTAGGTACTTTAGTAGGCACTTTAGTAGGCACTATACTACTAGCGTTGTTATTGCTAGCGCTACTAGCGGCAGTACGGTTGTTGTTGCTTCGCGATAAGCCGGCTATTATAATAGGGGGTAACACTAATAATGTATTATTAGCCCCTAAGATACGGATATAGCGGAATTAGTAGATATTAGTCTAGTACGATTAACTTAGTATAATAGGCCGTATAGAAGGCCTTGCTTAATGATTGGTACGGTTATTCTAATAGAATAGTGCGTATAGATCCCGCCTCGGGCGTAATATAGTTAGATTAACGGTTTTCGTAGCTATACCGCTAAAAGCTTGAAATAAGGACTATCTAGCTACTGCCCTTAAAGGGTAGATCGAATACTATATAAAAAGGGTTATATTAGTAGGTAGATAGGGTAGTAGTGAATTAGTATAGTATTCGATAGAGAGCTAAGAGGAGAGGGAGGAAGATAGGCAAGTTAGCCTAACGCTAAGCGCTAAGCCCTGCCTAAGGCATTAAGACCCTAGCTTCACTCGAGCCTAGTTATATACTAATTACGTGTAACCTCTTTAGTCCTAACACCTTCTAGCCGTAGAAGAGGCTCGTTCTTATAGCGGAGGCTAACTAGCTACTAGTTATAGCGACAATAACCGTAGAAACTAGCTTCTTCGAGTGTATCTATTAGTATAGCTTTATCGCTCGCTATAAGCTACGCCTATTAACTATCTTCTAGCATTACTCGCTGTACTAATAGCAACGGTTTTACTAGTATAAATCGAGCCGCCTTCTTCTTACGTAGTAGCCTCGAAGGTATAGCGGTAGTAAAATAGGGGAAGGGGTTACTAATAGACTTAGTGTTATACTATAGATTTGCTAGTTTGAAGACCTTTAGCGGCGCTCGGTCTTTAAGGTCGTTAGGAAGATAGCGGCTAACTAACTTATATTAAACTAGCTATTGCTTACGCTTCTTAATCTAATACACCTTCTTAATCGGCCTCTACTTATAGCAACTAGCGAGCGGTCTAGTCTTATAGATACCTATTAGAAGTAATAGAAATGGCTTAGTTAGTAACTAAATAGTACGCTTAAGAAGGGGCCGCTTCCTGTCTTCTATACGTGCCCTTCTACTTATTATCGTACCGAGCTCCTTCCGTTGTCGCTTATAATAGGACTTCTATTACTTCCGTGTCTTGTATGCCTTATTATCTACTAACTTCTAAGCCTTCTTAATAGCAGTAAGCTCTCGATAGGCGACTCGAGTATAAACCTTATACGTATAAGCGATGCCTATCTTCTATTGCTTGCTATTATTAGCCTTGCGTGCCTTCCTCGCCTCTATAGCAATCTCTATCTCCGAGAGGTTATATAACGCCTAAGCGCCCTAGTTAGTATAGAATAGCACTAAGCTCGTAACTCCTTCGAGAAGGCCTTATATTAGAGATAAAGGCAGTCTATGCCTCGTAAGTCGCTTATTAAGGGCATTAATCTATCGCTTTATAGTACGAATAGTAAGCGTAGGGTTAAATAGGTCTATATCGACTAGAGGCGGCAATTCTAGCAAATGCGAGAACTCGAAGAGCCGACCGGTTTCTACGCTATTATAGATACTATTAAGATCCCTTATAAGAAGGTCTGCTTTCTCTACCGCCTTACGCTCTACGTGCTAGACTATATACGTACTGTACTCGTTACGGAGAAAGTCGAGGGCTCGCTATGCGTTAATAGGGGCAATACCGGTCTTCCTAAAGGCTAACCGAATATTACTATTCTTAAAGGTCTTCCGCCGGATGCTATCGATAGCGTCTATAAACTAAGCGACGCCAAATTCGCCTATTCCGAGCCTTGTATATTCAATAACGGCCTTCTAGTAGTAATGCTTATAGACCTAGAATAAGACTATATCTAGCGGCTATAGGAAATAAGAGGTATATAGCGGCAGTGTAAAGATTAGAATACGGTGTCTACGAGCGAAGTCGACAAACTCGAAGAAGTCGTAGCTTCTAAAGTTGTCTATTATAAGCAGGCGATATTGTGTCTTATCTGTAGGCTTCGTAAGCCTCTCGAAGTGCTAGATCTAGTAGAAGGCCCTATCGTCGTTTAAATAACTAGACTTAGTTACTCTAACTAGATAGTGCGCTAGCAATTTATTAAACTATGCTTCTAGTAAGACCTTACCTTATACTAGAAGCATTAGCTTAATGTATCGTCTATAAGCGTTAACGGCTTTTACTAAAGTTATATGCTTCCGATAGGTGTTAGTTATAGCCTATAAGCGGCGCTTTAGGTCTACTACAACTACCTATTCTATGCCTCTAATTCTAATCTAGAAGCTAGTCTCGTCTATATTCTAGCAGTTGTCGAGAGTAATCTTACAGGTCTATATTAAGCTATATAGCTTCTTAAACTAAGCACCGATAAACTAAGGGTCGTATGCTTCCTTCCGTACCGCCTCGATATTCTTCCGCTTAGTCTCTTTAGCCCTATTCTTCTATATCTATCTCTTATACTATATCTTACTTAATAGCTTAAATAAAGCCTATTTATTATCCGGGAGGCCTCTTCGTATAATTAACTCGGCGGTAGCGCGGATTAGTAATATAGGAAGGCTTAGGTCTATCTGTTCTCGAGAACGGTAGTATTCGAGAAGAGCGAAGCTTTAAGATAGATTAAGTCGAGCGTGTAAAGCGGTACGGTTACTACGGCTACTACGGCTATTATAGCGGTAGTAGAGGCGAGAATATATGTCTTTACATCGGTTGTCGCGGCACTATGCCTTTAGGTCGACGAGTGCTTAGTAGGTACGCTTATATACTTGTATTTTAGTTAATTCGATCGCGACTCGGGCGTCTTTGCGACGATTCTCGGTAGTAGATTTTTGCTAGGGCCGTATAACGCGTTTCTTCGACTTTCGCTTTCCTAATAGCATTGTAATAGTATTAAATAATTTATTTAATGCAGTATATGTAAATTTACGGATAGGTAATAGGTTTAGAAGATAGTTTACGAATAGGTATAGACCGCTCGCTTCGCGAGCGGTATATAACTCTACTAAAGCCGCGGATAGGAACTTAGGAGAGTATAGTCTAATTAAGCGAGATAGCAGGCTAGGATATCCTAGAATAGCCCGTCACACTGCCGAAGCCTGATATAGCACCATGTGGCTTCTAGAAGTTCGGTTACGAAACTCTAATCTAACTTCAGCTAGAAAACCTTTCGTCTGAATCGTCTCACGTTTTGAAGTCTCCTTTCACATACGACGCTATAGCCGCGGAAGACTTGTGGAAGAATCACGTCAAAGATACAGCAAGAAAGTCTGCATCGAAGAGCTGCTCCGCATATCAATTCATGGTGGAAAGAAGTCTTCAAGAAACAAACAAGGATGCATAGCAAGATGTAGTCACGGCATTTATTCAGCAATGCTGTCCGGTACCTTTAGGCATATCTTCCCTCAGGATCACCTCTTCTTCGTACGGGCCGCCGCCATTCGCTTCTTATTCTGTATGAAGGCTTGGTATACGCAAAAGAATACCGGATCGCACATTATCTCAGCTTCGTGCTGCCATCTATGTCGCGCCACAATCCTGCACTATCTTGTTCGAGGACTGTCCAGACGCCAGCGCAGAGCGGATGCCAATGCGCAAGGCGTACCATCTCAATGGAGCGCATTGACACGAGCTGGCGCTATTGGGAGATGATAAGTACGGAGCACTTCGTGTTCTGCAACAGCTGTGTTCACCACTCCTTCTTGTCACATTCTTCCTGCTCTTCTTGAATCTTGTTTGAGAGATGTCCTAGGGTTCGAGGAACGCTCACTGGTCTTCTATTTTGCTTTCTGTCTCCAGAGAGTGCTAACATGGCCTCTCTCATACTACCTTTCCTAATCACTTTATCAAGCGCACTCCCTTCGGTCAACCTGATCCAACGCCAGACTCAGCTCGCGCCCGCATGGAACACATCGTTACCGACGAATTGGACGTATGTCGGATGCTACAAGTATGTTTCGCATCATTCCAGGCCTATCCACCGCAGCTAATCCTTTGTAGTGAATCAAATCCAAGAGCCCTAGGAGGAGGAGGTTTTAACAATGCAACAACCATGACTGGTGCCCTATGTGCAGCTTACTGTGCAAATAAAGGCTTCATCTACGCAGGCACAGAATACGCCGACGAGTGCTATTGCGGTAATAAGCTCTCGGCACCAACTTCACTTCAAAATGATACCCAGTGCAGCATGAGCTGTGCCGGGAATTCTACAGAAGCTTGTGGAGGTAAGATTCCAGCTCAAAAGCCAATGATGAGAAGTGCTGACGTGCTTTCCACAGGTCCCAACTACTTGACAGTGTACTTTGCAAACAAAGATGCGCCCAAAGGTCCTTCCATCAACCCTGGTCCCTCAAATTGGACCAGCTATGGTTGCTGGACTGATGGCAACACCAGGACGCTCCGGAAGGTAATGCAGATGCCCGGCGGCTTCAGTAATGGCACTGTTGCTGGCTGTACATCCGTCTGCGGGGCTGGTGGCTATACACTTGCTGGTGTCGAGTATGCAGGAGAATGTTATTGCGACAGCTACCTATCTAATAGCGTCGCCAAGAAGGTCTCCGATGATGACTGCAACATGGTGTGCAACGGCAACTCCTCGGAGTTCTGCGGTGCAGGTGTGTCTACCGTCGAATGCATTGATGCATCAAATATTGACCGCGTACAGGCAACCGATTGAATCTCTATGCTTCCGGGACCTATGTGCCTAGCACAAAAGCGCCAAACAGAGCTCCCCCCAAACCTGTGAACTGGCTGAGCTTGGGCTGTTACAGTGATAGCGTGGCCAGCCGGTCACTGAGATACGGGCAACAAGTGCCTGGCGGAAGTCGAAATATGACAAACCAGAACTGCATCAATGTATGCCTGTCTCAAGGATATACTATCGCCGGTACCGAGTACTCCGGAGAGTGTTTCTGCGACAACGACTTTCAAGGCATCAGCGGTCCTGCAACTGATGGCCGCTGCAACATGAATTGCAACGGAAACGATGGTGAGATTTGTGGGGGCCCCAACGGCCTCTCTGCATATCAGTTCAATGGATGGTACGACCAGGGCTGCTACACGGATAGTGTCAACGCAAGAACACTTCGATATGGCCAGGCAGTGCCGGGAGGTCCACAGAATATGACTGTGGAGAACTGTGTCGCGAGCTGCAAAAAGGCTGGGTACACTATTGCTGGTGTCGAGTATTCTGGAGAATGCTTTTGCGATAATACCGTGTCCAACGGTGGCGGACCGGCGCCTGATGGCTCTGCTCAGTGTAATATGCAGTGTTCTGGCAACCAGGACGAAACATGCGGTGGACCAAATCGTTTGAATGTGTACGCATTCAATAGCAAGGGACTGCCAACGGCCACGAGAACCAGCACCACTGCTTCGGCGACCGCAACAACATCTAGCGGCGGAGATGACACTCCAACTCAAACCACTCCCACGGCGAAGCCGACCTCAGGAGTCAATGCGACTGCGATTCTGCCGTTCAAGTACCAAGGCTGCTACACAGACAACATGCAAGCTGGCCGCGCACTCATCAATCAACGACCCGACAACCAGTCGATGACGGTCGAGTCCTGCATTGCCGCATGCTCATCCCAAGGCTACGCTATTGCTGGTATGGAGTACTCGGCGCAATGCTTCTGCGACAACTACTTGCGCAACTCACCTACGCTCCGCGATGACACTGAATGCAACATGGCATGTGCTGGGAACGGCGGCCAAAAGTGTGGAGATGGCGGCAGGCTTTCGGTCTATTCGAATGGTACTTTGGCCAATTACACCTCGCCTGGATTCCTAACAGATAACCTGCCCAGGAATTGGAGCTTCGCAGGCTGCTTGGAAGACAATGTCAATAATCAGCGATCACTGCCGTACCAGATGGAGTTCCCCAAGGATAACTCCAATGTCAAGTGCATGAAGCTCTGTCAGGAGTTTGGCTATACTGCAGCAGGAACCGAGTATGGCGAGCAATGCTTCTGCGGTGATCCTCAAAACTACATTGATGCAGGCGCCAGGATGATAGCCAACTCTTCTTGCAACATGCGATGCGCCAATGACACAGCTGGTAGCAATGGCGGCGAACTTTGCGGTGGTGGCAACGCCATCTCGCTATACACATGGACTGCCAATCCACCAAATCAATGGACCATCGCGACCGGAAACGCTGCTGGAGCGTACGAGTTCTTGATCGGTGGCGTGACGATTCCATTGGTGACAGCTCCAGCTCGAAATGGCAAAGTCACATTCGTCGAGAAGTTTGGCACGAGCACCAATGCCAGCAGTACTGGTGCATATGAGCTGGATCTCGCATTCATCAATGACTTCAGCAAGGCTTGGCGCGAGATGCACGTCAAGACTGATGTATTCTGCTCGGCAAGTCTGACCTTGCCAGACCGGGCGGGACGACAGATCAACATCGGTGGCTGGTCACATCCCTCCACGGAAGGCGTTCGTCTCTACTGGCCCGATGGAAGTCCTGGTGTTCCTGGAAAGAATGACTGGGAAGAGAACTTCGAAGAAATCGCGCTTCTCGCAGGGCGATGGTATCCTTCTGCGATGATTATGTCCAATGGTTCGGTACTTGTCATGGGAGGCGAAGAAGGTTCGAATGGTGCGCCAGTCCCATCACTCGAGCTCCTCCCAGCGACGGGAAACCTCCAGGAATGCGACTATCTCCGCCGCACCGATCCAAACAATCTTTACCCTTTCCTGATCAATCTGCCATCGGGCAACATCTTCGTCGGATACTACAACGAGGCCCTGCTCCTCGATCCCGTGTCTTTGCAGCCGGTCAAACAACTTCCAAACATGCCTGGGTCCGTCAACAGACCCGACTCGGGACGCACATATCCATTCGAAGGCACAGCAGTTGTGATGCCTCAACACGCTCCTTTCTCAGATCCTCTCGAAGTGCTGATCTGTGGTGGCTCCAATCCCGGTGTCGCCGTTGCGCTCGACAACTGCATTACTATTACACCAGATGTCCCCGGCGCGAACTGGACCATCGAACGAATGCCTTCCAAGCGGGTACTCACCATGATGACCGCATTACCAGACGGCACATTCCTCATCAGTGGCGGTGCACACCAAGGCACCGCGGGTTTCGGGTTAGCAACAGACCCGAATCTGAACGCCGTGCTGTACGATCCTTCCAAGCCAGTTGGCAAGCGCATGACTGTCATGGCGAATACCACAGTAGCACGACTCTACCACTCCGAAGCCGTCCTCCTCGACGACGGTCGGGTATTAATCTCAGGCTCTGACCCCGAAGACAACGCCAATCCACAAGAATACCGCAACGAGGTCTTCATCCCCCCCTACTTAATGGGCAACCCATCCCGACCCGAGTTCAATACCACAGATCTAGACTGGTCGTATGGCTCATCGCATACGTTAAGCATTCTCCAGCCCGGTGCTGGAGGAAATTTCAAGGTTTCCCTCATGGGCGCCGTGGCTTCGACTCACGGGAACAGCATGGGTCAGAGAACATATTTCCTTTCTGCTTCTTGCTCTGGAAGCTCTTGCACTGTTACTGCGCCTCCTGATGGCAATACGTGTCCGCCGGGATGGTTTCAGCTTTTCTTACTTGACGGCGCAGGCGTGCCTTCTCACGCCATTTGGGTGCGTGTCGGCGGCGATCCGGGACGTTTGGGCAATTGGCCTGATGCGAAGGGTTTCTCTTTGCCTGGTATGGGCGCTGTTGAGCGGTTGTTTTAGATCGATGTCATGTCCATGAATCTCTTTTTACTCGTGCCATCGTGCTCCTGTGTTCTTTTCCTCTTTCTTTACTCATCTCTTGCAGAGTTCGTTATTACCACCAAGTCCATCTGCTGAACAATGCTGCTCGCCTTGTATCGAAGGCTGGCTGAGAGAGTGTGGTCGAGGCCCGAGCCGAAAGTCTTGGCGTTCAAAGCCTTGTCTCCGACTACGCGACGCGTTCTGTACATGTACATCTTCGTCTTGATTTTCGCCCTCTGAGACTGCATAGCAATGCATGACCAAGCGGGCCAAGAGAGACGCTCACAGTCTTCGTCTCCAACGCTATGGGTCGACAAGCAAGATGATACAAAAGAGCCGGGAGAGATGGATGGATTACGATGACGGTGGCTGTCACGACTGCAAGAGCATGACATGTATTCTACGCCAGGGATATGTCTGTGGGTTTGGACAAGCCACTGTGAACGACGATATCAAATGCAAGCAAGTGCGAAAGAGGCTTAATTGAGCAGGGTGTGCTTCAAGTGGGAAGAGTCTCTGACAATGATACACTGGCCAAGGGCAACGCTATCATATTGATACTCATAATCACAATGCTCCGCTGGAAGCTCCACTCTGGAAGATAACCAAATGGCCCTTGGTAATACCGGCTTATGTCAAGGTCAAGTGGAAGCTCGATTCGCTCACAAATGCATCGTACGGAGAGCTGCTGAGGCTCCCACGAAGCTGAGGTCGAGGCCAATGCTCCAAGATGTGGGAAAGTTACAACGATCGTTCCAGCGTCATCAAACTGATAATCGAGTATCTCAGACAAAGGATCATGGCTTTGACTACAAATGGGCATAGACCTTCTTACCTTAGACACCACGTGTTTCCTCCCAACACAATTGCGCAGGTTTCCAGCCGCCATCGAATTCATTGCTGCGCTACTGTATCTCAAATAGAAGTTTGCTGCAAGCCGTGGTCTATGCTGCCAACAAGAACTGCAACACTGCATCAGTAAGTCAAACTTCAACGAACCCCTGAAAACACACATGGAGATTCTATTTGCTGATGCTTTGCATGAAAGGACATTTGTATCAATCGGCACAATCTGCAGATTCCCGAGTCTGTGCTCTTTGCTTCTTTGAGACATGCGCTTTGAGATGCACGTTTGCTCGCGCAGTCGTCTCGGCCGTCCGATTTCAGCCAAACACATGTACCAGCTTATATGTCCGCACTGAAGACGCCAGATCTGTTTTCTCCTCATCGATACATCGAAGCCTCTTTTGCAAACGACACCCCTCACCACCCCTTTTGTCAATTGAGTCTCCGTGAAGTCTAAGTCTACAAGAAAGAGCAGGATTTCTACAGAAGTCACAGAAAGTCTACAAGAAAGAGCTTGCAGCGATGAATGGAAAGAAGAAAGATGGAAGTGGCATCAAGAGGGAACCTCCCCACTCGCTCTGCATCAGATGCGACGGCGAGGAAGATCATTCAATCGAGGCATGTATCAAGAAGTATCCAGCGGAGAGCACGCCTTCCTCGCAGCTCTGGATAGCTTGGCCCAGCACCGAAGTCCCAACAGAATCGCTCTCTGCCGACCGCAAAGCCGCCCAAGACTTGATCAAGAAGGCCAGAGAAGTTGGTAAAAGGGTCTTGGGGTATTCACCAACTCAAGATCATGTCGTCGAGGAGACTCACGCCCAAAGAAAAATCGCGAAGAAAATTTCAAGGCAAGCACTTGCTCATGCTGTGGAAGTCATTCTGAAGCCCGTCTCATCCCAGAGCGAGCCTCAGTCCAGTGCTCCTCAGCTCGTGCAGAACGCATCGAACTCTCACGATGCGGTGCAGCCTCGCACTCCTGCCGGTGAATCGGTGCGAGCTGCGGAAACCGACAAGTCCCACAGCAAGCACACTAAATTCGACATCGCTGAAAACATGGCAAACGGTCAAAAGAAGTTGCCGATTGGGAATCCTCGGCCTGCCAATCAACAGAAGCAGAATGTGCAGCCTCCTCCTCGTCATCATCAAGGCTGCTCAAAGTGCGGTCGCACTGGACACAATCCGAATGACTGTCCTTACTACGACATGCAAAACAATCCCCTGTGTAGCAACTGCGGCGCGACAGATCATGGATACCAGAATTGTCCAAAGAGCTGCCAAGTCTCTCGTTGCAATGCGCATCATTATACTTGGCAGCACCCGGAGCCCTCTTCCAAATTGAACCAGATGCAACGCGACGAGATCGTAGGATATCAGAAGATCGCGACAAGCGCCCCCGATGCGCTAGCCTCTCCACGTATCCAGGCAGTTAATCGGTACACTGGACCACTCCACGCTCGACCAGAGTGCAACTATGCTAGCTATGCCGGAAATCCGTCTGATGCTTTGTATGCTCCAAAAAACAAGTCTGCGTCTGTTGTCACGAACTACGTCAAGGTCGATTGCCAGCTTCAGCAAGTTCATGTCTACACTATGCACTTCACTGCTCCGGCAGATGGCAGCAATGCTTCTTCAGTTGCTCCCGCCAGCACCCAAGCCGGACAATCCCACGTGCAGAACCAACGGTACATCCAACAGCGGGGAGAACGCAAGCGCGTTTTCAGAGCGCTACTCACTCAAGCGCCTCTGCAAGGACGGAGGGACTACGCGACGGATTATGAGACCTTGTGGACCGGCACGGTCATACCAATACCACAGGGCCAGCACAGCTACGTGCTCTCGAATGTGCAGTACCTCAAGCAGAGCGGCAAGGCAATCACCTTGCCTCAAGTGGAATTTCGATACCAGAAAACTCTCAATTTCGCCGCTGGCACACAAGATCTCGCTGGACCTGTGAGGCAACAGCACAATCCCAATGAGCTCATCCGGGGCTTGAATGCTATGGTCACCCGGTGCATAACTGATGCAAAGTCGCAACAGATCTTCGAGTACGGCACCAATATGTTCTTCATCAAGGGCAGTCAGGTCGACATCAAGGGCCTTGACATTCAGCGAGGCTACTTTACGTCCGTGCGACCCGGTGAGCACAGTGTCTTGCTCAATGTGAACATCACACATGGCACATTTTTACAGCCGATCTTGGTCTCTGATTTCATCAGGATGATCAACAAGCAGGACACGGAAGGAGGCGTGAGAAAGCTCAAGAACGATTACAAAGACCCAACCAAGCTTTTGAAGGGTCGTGCTGTTCGAATAATCTATGATCGGAAGCCCTTGAATAACGTCATCCAGGATAACAACCGGATCAAGATCATTGCTGGCTTCGGAGATGTGCCTTACCTCCAGCAATTTGAAGGGAAGGACAGGATGTGGACTGTGAAAGAATGGTTTGAGAGTCAAAACCTTCCAATTCATCGTCGACATCATGATCTTCCGTGCGTCAATGTCGGATTGGGCAGAGATCAGGATGGTCACTGTGACCGGCTGCCCCAAGCCATTGCGCATTTTGCGTCTGAGCAGAACTGAGTTCATCGACAGAACTTTCATATAGACCATGGGAGCGACCTCTGGCAACACCCGGCCTCGAACCACGCTGCCATAGAAGAAGAGGGCCTGCGTGTTCTCGGCTTTCGTGACACGCAACAGCCTCTACTGAGAGATCTGAAACTTACTGCTGGACAACATCTTCTGCGTATTCCTGCCACTCAGCTCCCAGCACCGATTGTTGCCTACAAGAATCTCAAGCGTGAGGGTATAACTGGCGCAACGTGGAATCTCAAAGGTGTCAAGTTCCAAAATGCAGCGAAAACTGTCAAGTCGCCACTTGCTGTTTTGGACTTGAGAAAAGCAGAAACCAAGCCAACGGCTTACGAAATCGCGACGGACTACCTGAAGACGTGTAGAGATCATGGCCTGTTCCATGGCAGTGTGCCAGATGTCAAGGAGAACGCAAAATTAGAATCAGCGAAACTTCCCAGCTCGACAGGTGGAAACTACGCTATGGATCTGTCCCAAGTGATTAGTCCTGCTCTCAAAAAATTATGTACCGAGCCGCTCGTCCTTGTGCTGCTTCCCAGCACGGATTCTATGATCTATGCGACAGTGAAGCGGATAGCAGACACGTGCTACGGTGTCAGCACGATCTGCGTGACTCAGGCGAAGTTGGAGAAGCGTGATATGAGCCTGTTCTCTAATCTTGCAATGAAGCAGAACTTGAAGCATGCATCTGGCCACAACCACCGTGTGCAGCTGAAAGAAGGTCAGTCTGCGTTCTCGGTGATCTCTTCAAACACTCTGGTGATCGGCGTCGACGTCGTTCACCCTGGCGGTTATCATCCATCAATCGCGGCAATGGTCGGCAGCGTCGATGAAGAATTTGCAACCTTCCCAGGACACATTCGTCTCCAGCCAGCTCGCGCAGAGATCCTGACACAGGAGAACATGCGAGACATGGCGAAAGCCTGCATCGAAGCTTACAAGGCTCGACGAGGGTTTTATCCATCTCGAATCCTCTACTATCGTGATGGAGTCAGCGACGATCAATGCCACGATGTTGTCACACGCGAGCTACCAGAGATCGAGCGTGCTGCGCCTGCGGGCATGGCTGCACCATCCATTGTAGCAATTGTGGTCGGAAAGCGTCACAACACTCGGTTCTTCCCGCCTGACGACAGCATGACTTACAAGGACAGGAATGGCAAAGCTCCAGCAACTCTCAGTCCTGGCGATGTCCAACGAGCACGAGCCAGTAATCCGAAGAAACCCAATTACCCAAACGCCATGAATGGCAACATTACTCCCGGTCTACTTGTCGACTCAGTCATTACGCAGCCACAGATGCCTGGCGGAGGTGGTTACCGAGACTTCTTCCTACAATCTCATGCGGCTCTCGCTGGTACCGCAAGATCGGCTCACTATATTGTCGTTCGCAACGACCCGGCTGCCAAACTCACCCCAGCCCACTTACAGCGACTCAGCTACCATTTCTGCTTCAACTATGCCCGTGCCTCCAAAGTCGTATCGTACTGCGCACCAGCATACTATGCCGACAGGCTTTGCGACCGTGTCCATCACTATTACCGACACTTCATCGAGTCTGAGGGTCTCACTTGGGAGAAGACCGCTCAAGAAATCCGAGCTGGTGATCAAGGCGAGACGACATTCCGCCAACGAGTGCGGGACGAGGTTGCAACACACCCAAACTGGCACACGGATCGGCGCACCAATAATCCTTGGGTGTCGAACTTCAGCGACCACATGTTTTGGCTTTAAGGAGGAGGCGAGAAGGATGCATGGATGTGAGAGATATTGAGATCTTGAGATCTTGGCGCATACAGGTCATGCTGGCTGTCATTTGCTGCGTTCCTGTACAATCCTGCACGGGAAGAGTCATGGCTCAATTCGGTGTTTATTGTTCATAGAATCTTGTAGCAAAACTTGGGCTAGCTGTCGGAACAAAACCTCCTCCCTCCATTCACTCGTCCTACCTTCGATGCCCATGATGCCCGGCCTTCCTCAGTACCACTCTTCTTGATCCAAGTCCACTCATCACCAACACCACTCCCATCACTCTTGACAACCTGAAATGGCCAACTCCTTCGCACTCTTCAACGTCAACTCACTGAAGTGGGATTGGAATACGGAGAAACGTTCGGGCCGAGGTGAAAGCAAATGTGTCATTTTTATTCTAGTCTGCCGAGATCACTGGCATGCATCAAATCTACTCAATTACTGTGCTGCTAAGGTAAGCGTGCCCACCTCGCGCTAGTTACGCGAGGTTCGTAGACCCTACTAGTTTGTTAGCAACCGCGAATCTATAGTAGTTTCTCGTGCCTAACTCGCTCGTAGTTACGCTTAGGGTTAAGAAGAAGGCATTTCTCGAGCCTACCGTCGATTAAGCGACTAAACTATACCTCTCCGCCGTAAACCCGACGCGTCTCGTAAAGCTAAAGAGGCCGCCGAGAGCGCCGCTATTATAGTAGAAGCTTAGTCTACTACTACTTAGAAGAAGCGTAAACGTACTACTAAAGTAGGTACCTCGAAGAAGCGATAGAATAGTACTAATTAGCAATCGCAACTAGACGATTAATTGCTAGAAGCTAGCGGTTATCCGGAGGGTTAAGACGCGCCTATAGAAGACGGAGTAGAAGTAATAGACGGAGCCGCGTCTACTAGAGCGGACGATAAAAAGAGGGTTAATAAAGAGAATAAGGACGTAGAAGCGTAGTAAGAAGCCGAGATTAATTACAACTTCCGTATACTAGTATATATATCCTATAGTAAAGAACGCCTACGTAGAGATTATTAACTACGCGTATAGCGAGTAACTAGCTTCGAGACCTAGCGCAACTTCCTTAAAGTATATAATAAGTAGTATAAAGGATAGGAAGACAAATACGACTATCGAGAGATTATCGTTAAGTACTCGTACTATAGTCTTCGATAGCGAGATATCTTCTTAATAAGTGTCGGCGGTAATAAGCGAGAATAAGACTCGGTATAGCTTACTATTTTTAATTAACTCGACGACTAGTATAACGCTAATAGGCAAGGCCTTATTATAACTATAGATATACTAGTAGTTAATCTAAAGCCGCTATAGACGCCTATATAACTACGAGCGAGGCAATAGTAGCGACTAATACCTAGCGGCTCTTAAAGGGTAACTACGACTTAGCGGCAGTTAGATAAAGTGCGTCGGTAGCGGCGTCTCGAGTTAGAAGAAGATGTAAGGCAGAAGCCGAGGAGGCTTGGCGCCAAGCACGTAGCGACCCTAGCCTATAAGTGCGCCCGAGATCCACGCTTAGTAAGCGCAGATACTTCCGATCTTTTGTCGCGGCGTAAGATGCTAGTAAACGGGCGCACTAGTACAGCGGTCTAATATAGTATCCGCGCTTTATAGTCTATAGGTTAAGGTCGCGCGTTCGATTCTTAGTATGCGTTCTTAGCCGACTAGGCTAATCCTTAGCAAACGCGGCTTCGGAGGTGCCTAATTGCCTTAGGCGCGCGACTCGGCTACAGGCGCACCTGCCTTAGAGGGGTTAGCTTATAGGCTTGTTTGTTAGATTACGACGCAATTCTAATTAGATGCTCGGCTGTACCTTCGGGTATAAGGCATTAGAAGATTTTATTAGCTGCTCGGCTATATATACGGGTACGGGGTATACTAAGGCTAACTAGCTATAGGGCCGCAGCTAAAGAAAAGGGAAGCGCGTATAAGGCGGAAGCTAAGAAGGCTTGGCGCTAAGTACGTAGCGACCCTAGCCTATAAGTGCGCCCGAGATCTACGCTTAGTAAGCGCGGATACTTCCGATCTTTTGTCGCAGCGTAAGACGCTAGTAAACGGGCGCACTAGTATAGCGGTCTAATATAGTATCCGCGCTTTACGGTCTGTAGGTTAAGGTCGCGCGTTGCGTATAAGGCGGAAGCCGAGGAGGCTTAGCGCTAAGTACGTAGCGACCCTAGCCTATAAGTGCGCCCGAGATCTACGCTTAGTAAGCGCAGATACTTCCGATCTTTTGTCGCGGCGTAAGACGCTAGTAAACGGGCGCACTAGTGCAGCGGTCTAATATAGTATCCGCGCTTTACGGTCTATAGGTTAAGGTCGCGTATTCGATTCTCGGCATACGTTCTTAGCCGACTAGGCTAATCCTTAGTAGACGCGGCTTCGGAGGTGCCTAATTGCCTTAGGCGCGCGACTCGGCTGTAGGCGCACCTGCCTTAGAGGGGTTAGCTTATAGGCTTATTTGTTAGATTGCGACGCAATTCTAATTAGATGCTCGGCTGTACCTTCGGGTGCGGGGCATTAGAAGATTTTATTAGCTGCTCGGCTATACGTACGGGTGCGGGGTATGCTAAGGCTAACTAGCTGCAGGGCCGCAGCTAAAGAAAAGGGAAGCGCGTATAAGGCGGAAGCCGAGGAGGCTTAGCGCTAAGCACGTAGCGACCCTAGCCTATAAGTGCGCCCGAGATCTACGCTTAGTAAGCGCGGATACTTCCGATCTTTTGTCGCGGCGTAAGACGCTAGTAAACGGGCGCACTAGTGTAGCGGTCTAACAGAAGAGGCTAGCAATCTACGGCAAACGCCTTTAGCTAAAGAGCTTCGTAAGGAAGATAATAGCGACTATCGAGAGATAATAAAGCGTATATAGGCGTATAAGAAGACAACCTATAACTAGCATAGTTAGTACTACTATTATAACGGCTCTAACCTAGATACTGCTTACTACTTAATCTTTAAAGAGGTTGCTATAGCGTAGGCGGCTAGAATAGCGAGAGGCGAGCTTACTATTATAGATCTAGGCTCTACACTTGTTAATAAGATATAGCGCTATAAATAGCGCTATATAAGCAACTCGGCTCGTAATCTATTTACTTAGAGTACGAAGAGCGTAAAGGTTAGCGGTAGATATAGTAGCGGCGTAACGGTTAATAATTATATGCCTAGCTCTATAGTAGCGAAGGAATAGCTACCCTCGAGTCTACTACGTAGCTTATAACCGGATACCGAATAGGTAGACCTAAGGGATCAAATCTACGATTTCTTCGCCTAGCTTCGTTAAAGGATATATTAGAGCTATAGATTAGAAGACCTAGAGTATATAGAGCGAGTATTTAAAGATAGGGAGCTTAGGTTATAGAGATATATCGGTATAACTAAAGGAAAGTAGTATAAACTAGGCTTTAAAAAAGGGTAATAGGAGTATTTCCGCTAGGTAGAGCGGAGGTATATAAAGGATAGACGGCTTTAAGATTTATAGAGTTTCTATACAATAGCATACTATAGAAAAACACCGAAAAAAAGAGACAGCCTTATTATATACGTATACTATCGAGAAATAATTATTATACGATAAGTATTATATATTATTGTTATATTCTAATAGTTGTATAGAAGCTAAAAGTAATAAGAGATATACGGCTTTACTAGCTCCGAGCAAAGCCGAGCGAATCCGAGTAGAAGCTAAGCGACTTAATAACGACGAGATCTCCTTAACACTACGCCTACGGTAGTCGAAATCCGTATACGATAGTAGAGGATTTGTCTTAGTATAACTTTGTCTAACAAATTAGTAACTGTTTGCTTATCTAGCGAACCGCCGAGTATATAAGGTAGACCTACGAATACCGGATATATTTTAGTCGGAGATCCGATTAGTATTAGTACCTAGAGGCCTAAAACTACGCTTTTAAGTATAATGCTATATTAACCTATTCTATAGCGTATTAAAGGAATAGACCGAATGTCTCGTATACCTTTACAAGGTCTATATTACGTCTAATCTATACTTTAAGCGAGTTAAAGGATATCTTAATAGGATTAAAGTCTAGTAAGTATAGCGGCAAGTAACGTAGGTAAATGCTAAACCTATTATATAGGTCTTAAACGCGTAGACTATAGTATATTAAGGCATTGTCTATAGTAAGAAACATACCTCCATCTAGTCAAGGCAGTATAAACAACTCTAGCTAGTCTTCGAAGTCTACGGCTTTAATAGAGCCTTAGTAGATTAGGTAATCGTCTAGATAACCCTTACTTATTATAGTAGGTAGTATAGACTATCTCTTTAACCTCTTCGAGCCCCCGATATCTTTATATAGTATATTAACCTTAGAATAGCTATATTTCCGCTATCTAGTGCGCTCGTTTAAACTAGACTTGTCGATATAACAAACACGGTCTATTAGCATCCCCTTCTATAGTATCCGCTAGTTCTCGCGTAACTCGTAGCTCTATTCTAGTGCCTTGCGCTACGCCTTCTTCTTCGAGAAGTTATGCCTCTTAATAATATTGCTAACCGTAGACTTAGATACTATAACGTTAAACTCGTCGAATATAAACTATATAGTCTCGGAATAGTACGAAGTCGGTCGATCGCGAAGATAGACTTAATATAACTAATATATTAGAAGAAGGACTAATCTATATAGAAGTCCGAAGATAAAGTGTAGCAGTTGCAGCCTTAGGCATTAGGTACGTAATAGACCCTAACACCTAGATATATACTCTAAGTTACCCCCTTAGCACGTGTATATCGCTATAGAATGAAGTAAACTAAACACAATAGCTATTTAGTTAGCAAAGCAAACAGGGGTATTAGGTAAGCAGAAACAGGTAAACAAACTAGACTACTCTTAGGTCAAACAGACAAAGCAAACAAAGGCCCTCCTTAGTATTTAGTAGCTAGCTTCGTAGCGTTCTTAATAGCGGCCTTGCAATCTACTAGGTTCAGTTGTTTAATAAAGCGGCCGTGCTTAACCTTATTAAGCGGCTTAGTAAAGCTATCGGCTATCTAATTATATGTGCTAACCTATTAGACGACAATAGTACTATTAGCAATCTTCTCTCGAATGTAGTAGATACGAGTATCTATATGCTTTGTGCGGCTATTAATGCTAGTCGACTTAGTAATAGTAATAGCGGACTAATTGTCCTCGTAGAGCGTAACTAGAAGA